TGCTATGTAGTGTTCTGAGTTTGCTTTTTATTTTTTTAGCAAGGGTAGCTTGGAAGGGGAAGGGAACTGGCCAAAAACAACCCAGCTGCGGTGGGACTGTGCACCCAGGAGTGTCAAATATGGGAGATGAAGCCAGACCCCTTTTCCTTCTCCTGTCTCCCAAACACTTCTTCAGGGCAAATAAATCATTGGGGGGTTTTTGTTTGTTTGTTTTTTAAGTACAGTGAAATTCAATTTCTTAATATTAGTTTTCATGTTGTCTTCCAAATTAATCACCAAATGACTTCTAAATTTCTGTTATCATCAAATTTTGTCTCCAGATTTCATTGACATTTTAGTGACAACTGTCTATATATAATAGCAGAGTTATATTTCCTACTACAATCTATTAGAGTCAAATGTAATTTTGATCCACATCAAAAAGGAAAAAGAAACTGTAGCTAAGTACCTACGGCATATTTTATGCCTCAAATGTAATTTTCTTTTTTTTCTGTGAATGCCTGTCGCTTTAGGAGTATGAGTCTGATACGTGGCTGGGAGGAAAGCCCTCCCTTTGAGTCACAAGGTTCAGAAAGGATCTCGTTGCTTACTAAGCTCCCTCTCAGGAGTCTAGGTGCGGCTGGATCCAGCCTTGTTCAGCGGTTTATGTCTAAGGCATTGTGTGAGCAGCCACTTACCAGAGTCAACATTTGCCTGTCAGAGCCCTCTCAGGGGCTGAAACAGTTTTGCAAAGTTGAAAAAAGCAAATGATTTATAAGGTGACAGTTATAACAGATTCAGAATTGCCGGTGATAAGTGCACTGTCTTACACCAATCTAAATGTCATCCCAAAATATAAATGTGTATCTTTAACATTAACTACCATTAATCATGCATATACTACAAAAAGCAAGCACTACAATAAGCGAGCATAGATTAATACTTTAGCGCTACAGTTCATTATTGCAATTCTTACCAAGAAGGCGTCCCTGCTTGGGGAGAAGTCCAGGCCCATCGACCCGTCCGACAGCTGGAGTTCTTGCTCTCCTCCAAATGCAGGATTCTGAACGCCAGCTTTTATACTCTTGTCGAGCTGGGACTTAAGTCAATTGTTTTGTCTTGTTTGGCCCTTAACAGGGCTTGTTATGTGTTTGATCGAGCAGGGAAGAACAGGGGAAGAAAAAGGGAGTTGAGTACAGAGGCCTCCTCCTCATCCAGCTGTAACTCGGTTGTTTCAGTGCCAGACCGCTAGCCACCAAGATGAGCAAACTACTCAGCTCTTGCCTTTGCTCAGCTCTGGTGCTTATCGGCACAAGATAAACACAGCTCTCAGCCTCTGCTCTTGTTATTTGGCATCCAACACCCACAAGCCTTGGCCTTCACATTCCACAGTGCCTTAGAATAATACGAATTCCCTGTTTTGACTAACAGGTTTACACAGGGGAAAAACAGATTATAGCTGTATCATCATAAAGCTTTTCTCTTCTCACACCATATAAATTCTTTTATTCCATAAATACCAAAAATTCATAACACTAAAAACCAGGAGGAACCACAATGATCTCTTTGTATAACAGGTACTACAGTTGTTCTCTCACTGATGTTAATCTTAAACTGAAATGCAGGGTTGTTGAAGGGGGAAAAAAAAAAAAGGTAATTTATCAGGATTATAGCTCGAAGACTTGCATGCTTTCTGGCAACAGTTAAAATTTGTGTTTTGTGAGTGGTTTAAGTACTCATTTCTAGCTTCATTTTTATTGCCTCTGCTTTCAACCACAGAACAATATTTGCATTGTTACTTCTAGATTATTGCATTCTGACTTCTGAGACCATTCTCCATTTTTTTATTCTAAATTCAGTATAGGATATCCCTGACCATATTTTTTTGATGAAAATTTGTCAACAATATAAATGGAGAAATTATTTCATCTAATCAGACATTCTGAAAACCATACTTGACAATTTTACGCGTCTATTTTATTGCAATGAATATATTTCTTAGGCAGCTCTTGGAACCAGATCTGTTTTTTAGGGCAAGGGTATCTTAAATGTTTAATGCTTAAAAACATGTTTAAATAGGTCATAATAATTACTCTGTGTTGTCTCTATTTGATACAGTAAGGCAGTAGGTATGCTGATGTTCAGAGTGTCAGCTAGGATTTTCCTTTATTTTTCATCCCTTGAACTTGATAAAACTCTAAATACAATTTTGAAAGCATACACAATAGTTTAAACTTTTAAAGGCCAAATCAAATGTTTCAGTAAAGGGAAATATATGATTTATATGAAACACCTTAAATGAATTTACAAAAAGGGCCACCAGGGACAAAAGAATAGGATCCTGCCGTGTATTTGAAAGTACTTCCAAAGTGAACATGTAACATGAGGAATTAATTTTTAATTTTTATTTTAGACAATTATTGGAGATTTTCAGAAGGAACAGAAAAAATTTGTCCAAGAGCAGCAAACAAAAAAATCAGGTAACGTATGCTTTTTTTGCTAATGCATAACATTATATAAGCTAAAACTTGCTGGAAGATGGATAATTGACCGACATCTAAACCTAATCTATCAAAACTCTGTTTAATGAAACACATTATGGCAGAACTTAACATATATTGTGGAGTAGGAAGATGACATTTTTAAGTGAGTTTAACACGAAATTATCTAAGTTGGTTTAGATTTCCTTGTTTAACCAAATTCAGCTTTATGGAATTAACTCAAAGACCACTGTGCTAGCAAAGCTGATCTGTTATTGTTGTTTTGAATCTTAAACCTGTGTATTTATTGCAAACAGGCATGCTGATTGCCTTTCTTTTGAGCTTTAGCAATCATGTCACATTTTCATAATGAAATTAAAAACACGGGTTAGGGTTTGCACTGTAGTATTTAATTAGTTTTGCTGTAGGAGTTACTCTGCTTACATTAAAGGCATACTTGCTCTTTTGCTTTCCCATAAGTCATTTACTTTATAATTATCTGTGATCTAAATCCTTTGAGTTATCCACCCATGTACTATTGACATCAGTGGACCTATTTGAGACTTTTAAATAAGCACAATTTATTTTCTATGTTGCATTTCATCATTGGCTTTTCTTTTTTTCAATGCGTTACCGAAATGCAGTATTTTCTGACAGTTCGAATGATCAGTGCAATAATGATTAGCGAGACTGCTTATGTCATCACCCTGTCTGTATTTTTATGTTTTTGTCTGTTAGTAAACTTTGGCACATGTTAATATATTTTTGCAAGTTTCATGAAAATAGGTAGCTAGACTGACAAAAGGAAGAGGAACAGATGGCCTAACTGAAAGCATTAGCATCAGATGAGAGTCCGTGTGGGTGAAAGATCTTGCTGATGTCAGGTGCACAGGCAAATAAGCAGTTAGTTTTAAGTGCCACAAGAATTATTTGTTAATTGTTACAGACACATCATAATGTCTCTGTAGGCTGAATTTGCATTGACAGTGAAGAGAATAATAGATTTCTATACATCTACAATAGCTTATTTTCCTCTGTGTACAGCCTACAGAACTCTTTTGGAATTATCTGTGTAGGTATATCAATTGGCTGAACCTGAGTATGCTTATTCAGTGTATAACATGTAATTTATAACAAATTTATAACCTTTTTCCATCGTTAAAGAATCGAAGCTTTCTGGGGTTTAGAAAATTAATACAATAGTAAATTACTTTGAAAACTTAATTTAGACAAAGTTTACATGTTTAAAGTAAATCTAGAAATTTCTATTTGCAGGCAGCTTAATCAGTTATACAGCACTGCACTTCAGTAACTAAACTAAGAGGCACCAAGTTCTGACTGGACAGACTCCGAAAAAATACCCACAGTTTTAGTTTCACAATAATGGAAATCAACTTTTTTTTTCTTTTTACTTCTGATAAGCAAAAATCCACTGCTAGAGTTTCTCTCTTATGCCATGAGTTTAGTTTAGGAAAAAGGAATAATGAATTCGCTTACCAATAAAAGTCTGTTTATTTTTATGACAATATGTGTTACTTTATGTAATGGGTGTGTTTGTTTAAAAAAAAAAGGTAATACACGTGCAATTATTTTCCTCCTTTCAATAACAGAAGCAGCAGTGCCTCCCTGGGTAGACAGCAATGAAGAGGAGACAATTCAGCAACAAATCCTGGCCTTATCAGCAGTAAGTATTTTGTTTCCTGTAAGTTTTGAAATTTTTCTGTTGGAGAGGTTAAAGACTTTTTTTTTTTTCAAAGTAAGTTTGGCTGGCATTATTGCATTATGTATTTTCAGCATCTTGTAATGTGTCTATTACTGTGCTGCTCATGTGCAAGAGTAAATAGTTCTTTCAGTATCAACTTGAGTCAAGGTAAATCCCCAATATATTTTTTTATAAAGGCTTTAGAGCTTTGTGGTATGATAGAACTATGTGGAAGTGGAATTTCTTTGCTGGTCTTGTGTGTGAAATGTGATACCCTTTTTCTAATCTCAGTTAATGACCATAAATGTGTTCTTCAAAGGATAGACGAAATTTTCTGCGGGATCCTCCAGCAGGTGTGCAGTTTAATTTTGACTTTGATCAAATGTACCCCGTTGCACTGGTGATGTTACAAGAAGATGAACTTCTCAATAGGATGAGGTTTGATCTTGTTCCCAAACAGTAAGTAATTTCTGCTGGTAACTATGTATGGTTGTACTTTTAATGTGTATGTAAATATTTGTAAATTACTCCTTTTTCTTTTCACTTTCTTCAATTATTTCTTTATGTAATTCCTCTGTATGTATTTTATATCTACTATTTTCAAATGCATTCAATATGCATGGGCATTGCAGTTAAGCACTTTGAGACAGAAACAGAAGTAGATCTGTCAGAAATTCAGAATTAATAAGAACCTGTTGACTTCAAGTTATGGGATAGTCTCCTGCTTACCAGAGCTGCTTGCTTCTGAGATGTTGTTTCTAGTTATTGAAGGTCACACAGACGTGCTGAAATATGTGAAGATAGTGAAAAGGTTTTGCTGCAATCTAGGATTGGCTTCTGCGTGTAGTTCAAAGACGTTCCAGTTCCATCTGAGATCTAGGGGGGAGGACATACATGAATATAGTTTGACAATAACATGTTGGTGTTAGAGAGTGAGTGAAGAAAACAGAATTATTTGGCTTGTTGGGCTTGTTTACATAATTTAGCAAGAGAGATTGAACAGCATAGTATTTTTTCAAATTATGTATTGCTGCATGCTGTTAAGCTTTTTCTAAAGAAATAACATTATTATTGTTGTTACTGTATTATATGTTCAAGTCCATTGTAACTGTCTTGTAAGACATCAAGAACTTCTACAATGATGAATTTTTTTTACACTGTGATAATACCACAAATTTCTAAGTTTTTACTTAAAAGTCAGCTATATCTACCCCTTCCCTCTGCATATTTAATTTTATTTAATTGCTAGATGGTAAAAAGAACCATATTTCCAAATGTAGTAATCAAAATCTGTTTGTTCTCTAGCGTAAAGGAGGAAGTTTTCTGGAGAAATTATTTCTACAGGGTGTCCCTAATTAAACAGTCTGCACAACTCACAGCACTTGCAGCTCAACAGCAAGCAGTAGGAAAAGAAGAGAGCAAAGTCAGAGAAGAGGATAGTCAACTGAAAGGTATGGAAAGGATTTGTTTTAGCACAGCTCATTAATTTAGTGTCGCGTGTACTTATTGTATACATCAGGTGACATCAAACTTTTATCCTGGATTTCCTATGAAATAGAGCTTCTCTCATATTTCATCTCTTTGTCCAGATGTGGGAAGAGGGGGTTCCTAGTCCTTTTAGGCCATTTTCCAGTTTCAGCCAACTCTGTCAGAAGAGTGGAACTCTTGAAACTAAATTTTGTACATGGCTTATAACAGCTCAAGACCACTAGTGGTGTCCAGTGTACTTTTTTTAACTTGTCAGATAGAAGTAGGAGGTATTTTGGCTCACCTGATAAGATGACGTACTAGCCAGCCCAGCCAGCTGGCATATGGCCTGCTCTTGGCTTTTGCTTAGGCCTCAGGCTAAACAGAGTTAGTGACAGAGGGGCAGAATTAGTGGAGGAGAGGCAGAAACACATGCAGGACGTAGAAAGGCACACGGCATTATTATAAAAGTAGAGGAAAATGAGGACCAAGAGGCTACCTGGGATTCAACTTTGAGATTAAAAAGCCAATTCAGCATAGGCATCTTCAGTTACACTTACCAGTTTATACAGATTATTCTTACTGACCCTCTTATGAACCACTGGGTGTCTTTATCTGCATCCAAACAAATTCTGCAAGCAGAAATATATGCAGCTTAAAGAGTATAAAGCGGTTACTGACTAAGACACAAAAGATAACTAGTAATTAATTACATCTTAGCTTAAGCTGGGTATGCTCACCACCCCTGGTAAGACACCTGAAGAATCTTGGCAGCCTGGGTGGGCATTAGACAGAAGGAGAAACCCTTTGCTGCACCTTGGAACAGATTCTCACATCCCCAGCATCAATAAATTGTCATCATCCATGAAATCCATTAATGCTGATGTCCTGTTGATGCTGCTGGCCTGACTGATAACTGGTCACTGCCAAGTTGACTTTTTTTCCTACCCTTTCAGATATAATGTCTTTCCATATTGGTATTTTTCCTCTGGAATCCTTGCACTGCTAGTGATCCCATCTTTCTAATCCTACCTCAGTGTCTAATTTCACCTTTCTCATGTTTTTACACACTTTTTCACAGCTCTTTAGCACAACTTGGTAGTTTTCTGCACAGCCTGAGCTAAGGTTACTTAACTGGGCCTCGGCTCCTTGGACATAGGCAGCTGAAGCTTTGGGTCAAGGGGAGGTTACAAGGAGAATTATAGAGCCAGGATGCACATTGCATAGAAGATATTTTTTCAAAAAGGACTGTGGTAGTTTCCTCAAGGTTTTGTGTGTGTGTGTGTACCTTTGCCATCAGTTTGCTTCATTCTGTTTCTCAGAGGTGCTGTTCAGAGTGCACATGTGTTAGCAGAGGCAAAGTCCTCATCTAGAATGAACAAAGTAGTTTCTCTGTGTTAAAATCCAATCAATGCTGACAGGACAGGTCACTTCAGAATCTGCTTCAGACCAAGAGGCACCAATTCTGACTTCTTTTATACAGGACAGTTATCTGCTGTCCCGATGGGCTATGTACAATCAAATACTGCAGCATGTCCCCATGTCGAAAGCATGCTGTCAATCATAGAAACAGTACTCATGCTATTTTAGGCTTTCCAAGCTTAAAAAAAAAATAAAATCTTGGCTTCACTTGAGCATATTACATGAAACATAGAAGAGACCTAGGCCAAAGCTATGCAAAGTCACCACAGGCCACGTGCACTCCAGAGGATGCTAGCCTCTCTGTAGAAACAGAATAGAATTAGAGGAAATGTGATTATATGGATAAACAATTGATCAGTTTTTTGGAAGCTGAGACTTAATTTTTTTTTTTCCTTGTGTAAAAGAATCACTCTTAATTGTCTTACAGTAACTGTTTCATCATTACAAAAAGCTTTTGTCTTTGCCTTTCAGTGCAGACTGTATTCAGGCCCGTTTCCTTACTTACCTGTTCATGTCTTATCACTTCTACACTCCTACCATATTCAGCTCCCATTTTTGTCATTTTCTATAAGCAGATTGTGATTACTGTTACCCTGTGCAGGTGCCATCAACTCAGGAAATCACTGAGATTTTAATGATTTCATAAACCTTTGCACCTAACTGACATCTAAAGGTGTTTTTCTTTCTTTCTTTCTTGGAATTATTTATTGTTGTGATTTTTTAATTATTTCTTTTTCCTGTTCCTCTGGATTTTTTTATTACACCAGCTGATAGAACTATTAAGAGTAGTGATTGTCTTCTCTGGCTTCTGTAGTACTTCACAATAGATCTTTAAGTACTGGATCCTTTCACTTGCTACTGCGTTGAATCCTTTGTATAGAGGAAAAGGTTGCATTTGGAAAGATTAGAAATGAACAGTCTTAAACTGTAAGTTCCTAGGGCAGGATAACTTCTTTTTTTTTTTTTTTTAACAGTACAGTACTCACATTTGTCAAACTATGGCTGTTTTAATTGAAGTGTCACAGCTCTATAGAAGAGATGGCAACTGACCCTTTTGAACAATAAAACAGTTATCCTTGAGTCACTCAAACCCTTGGAAATTGCCAGTCAAAGAGAAAGTTGCTGGATAATACCCAAAGAGTTATTCTAGTAAAATTCTCATTGTGACTGAAAACTAAAAAAGTGCTGTCTTTTGGCCTGTTGGGAATCTTATAGAATTCAGAAAACCAGTATAGGATTTGCAGATTGACTTACTGTCCTAATGACTGTATATTCTATAATGACAAAGATACATTTACCAGACTGTAGTAAATACATTTTGTTTGATTCAAAAATCGCATAGGTTTGGGAAGCTCTGAATCATCTGTGTTATTTTTGATTTAGATAACCTTTTTGAAGGATGGATTCCCTAATTAGAGGCTAAAACTGGAAGTAATTGCCTGTTGGTAACTCTTCGTAATGTTCAGAATTTCTTCTTAAAGCTGACTGATGTCTATAAAATAGAATTAATTGCCTTCCATTTTTGTCTCTGTCTATCTCCTCCTTACCTGCTATTTTTGCAGAGTTAAATTAGCATGGTAGATGTGAAGGAAAAAAGAAGGGTCAAATGGAAGACATTCCACATTCTAGTGTAGAGAATATAGAAGATCTATAACAAAATGCCAAGTTCTAGGCCTTCTCCAGGTATTAGTAACTATTTACTTGGGAATGAAGTTACCTCAGGAGCAGAGAGCACATCAGCAGTGGAGGAGATGATGGCAGGCCAGTATATCCAGAACAGTGCTAATGATACGTTAGTCACATCAGACTGGTGCAAGGTCCAGTCCAGAGTTGCTGTGCCACTTCTGCATGAGAGCAGCAGATGGAGCTTGAGGCACCTCTTTTGTGCGGTGCTTTGGACACTCGGTGCTGAACAGCAAAGAGTTATTGCTGTGTTCTACAGCCTCCCCAAGCAGGGCGTGCTGGAGCCTCTTTGGCTGTGGTGTTGGGTGCGGTAACAGGTCCTCTGAAGCCTGGGAAAGAGAAGGAAGAGAAAGGATCGGGGAGAGTAGTGGGCATTCAGTAGATCAGCAGTATAAGCAGTGACAGCTACCAATTAGGGAATTATTTTAATTAGAGCCGATCTTAATTTTAAGAATTAAGCATGAAAAAATTCCTCCTTCAGAAATTGCTGAGAAAGCAGTAAAGGTCCACCTGGGCACGCTGCAGTAAGCAGAGCTGCAAGCTCAGAGCTGTTTTGCATGTTTAAACAAATAGAACTGCTAAGCAAGCACTCCATCACTACCACAACCTGCCCAGCATGTTAATTGTTTCTGCAGACTCCTGGCTCTTTATTGTGACTCCTCTACCACACTAGTTGCACGAAGAGGAGAGCTGGGGTGTTCCTCTGCCTGGCAATAAAAAGATCTTTCCTTGTTTGTAAACAATCATTGTCTTCCTAGCACCATGCTACTAAGTCCAGAATGCACAGTGAGTTTTCACAGAAAATCTGGAACAGCTTCTAGGGTTTATGTTTTTCAGTGACTTCTTTGGCTGTGTGAAAGATGGTAAGGCTGCAGAGCACTCTTCTCATGTGCCTTTAGGGGTGTGTGCACAGATGTAGTCTGATACACCTAAGAGCCAACTAGTGCCCATGTCAGTTGTAGTACCCAACCAGGAGAGTTTGGGAACTTCTACGATAGGCACCAGCTGGATTTCATGACCAAGTTTACACCTTTGTACCTTTAAAGATCTTGTGGCATGTGAGGCAGTCTGTAAGTGTTTTATAGAACACATTGTTTCAGATTCCCAGCTGTTCCTGTTTACGTAGTTCTTTGGATCATTTTGAGGCACAGAGGGGTTCCTGTGATTTAACTTTATAGAGTCATAATGAGGAAATGGTTTGCTCAATTTGCCTTAAGGGTAGAAAATTGCTGCTTTTTTGTTTTGTTTTTACAAATGCTTCAGCTATGGCTGAATTCAGCCTTTGACCACCAGGATGCCTTAAAACTTAAAATACAGTGTTTCCTTGTATTTTTAACAACTATGCTGATTAAATGACATCTTTATATATTTAAATGTAACTACCTTTTTTTTCCCCTCTTGATAGAAACAGTGCGGCCAAAAACACCACCTGTTACAATAAATCCTCAATTAAAATCTCAAGAGGTAAAAACGCTGTAACATTTTTATCTGGTATTAATATGTGAAACTCTTAATAGGTAATTCTGCATCCTTTTGAGTAGCTTGTGCTATGAAACCATAATAATGTAGTATCTGACAGTCCTAACCTGCTGCTGTTCTGCTGTGATACTAATTTTTAGTGCATGCACTTTAAACTCATTTTCAGTAGAAAAAACAGTAGTTTATCTGAAGAACATTTTCATTAGTATCCTGCATATTATAATAAAATATGTTTTTACTCTGAAGAGTGACATTTCCAAAATGTTTGGAGTAGAAGGTTTGTGTTGTATTTAGACACAAGGGATACCTTCACAAAAATATACTTCTGTGCCATGTTCTGTCGAGCTCTTCAGCAGTTGCCAGACATAAGTATCAGAAATCTAAATGATGCATTGCAATGAGAACATCATTTTATTGCAGCGGCAAGAAGAGTTTTGCTTAATACTGCAAAAACCTTTAACTTAGACACGTAATGACCCTTGTTCATTTCTGGGTTGTAAAATCAGTGCCAGAGAACACTCTTGGCAGAAGCAGAGCTGTGCATTCACTTGCCCGTAATATGATGCAGATTAAATTAAGCTAGAAAGATTTCCAAAGAACAGTCCTCTCTTCATCTTATTTGTGTGTAGAAAACTGTTACTGAGTTGTGCTCAAAATTTAGTATTAGTCTTAAGTACTGTTTTAAACTACTTACGAGTTTATTATGGTTTCTGAAGATTACAAAAACAGAATTAAAGTTGTTAAAAAGGAGCCTAGAATGAAAAGCAAATAATTTTCAGTATAGCTATCTAACATTTTGTCTGGACAAAAATACTCTTCAAGAAAAATGGCCCATAAAGAAAAATACTTGTCAGAGTAATGCATTTGGTTTGGTATTTTTTTGCTAACTCTATCTAAAAGGCAGTCAGTCACATGAGTGGCAGTATGTATTGGTGACATTTTTTTCCCCTTTTTGGATACGCTTATACAAAACTATCTTACTGCAGGATGAGGAAGAGATTTCCACAAGTCCAGGTGTATCAGAATTTGTGAGTGATGCTTTTGATGCCTGTAATCTGAATCAGGAAGACCTAAGAAAAGAAATGGAACAACTGGTGCTAGACAAAAAGAAAGACGAGACTTCAGTAGCAGAAGGTAAAGCTATTACTACTTTCTGGGTCTTAAATACAGATGCTTATTGTAATACAATTTTCAGAATTCATCTTACAAGGTGTTTTGGATGTTGCTGAATCCTTGTTTTCTAAAATTATTTTTCCAAAACATAGCCAAGCTTGAGGAATTCTTAAAATAACATCAGTTCCTTGCATCTAGCTCTTTGATGGAAGTGTTTCAGTAAGTCATTAATGTGTAATTTGTTCAGAGCTGGCCTTACTGACTTGGACTGTGGAATTACGTACCTTCATATCTAGGCTGAAGTACTCACCAACATGTAACACATCAAACACGTATCTCCTCCCCCATACTCTTGCATATGATAGGTAGAGCTAATTAAAACAGAGATTAACAACACAGGAATTTGACTCATCTTTTGCCCTGAAGTATGAAATATGATTACCTTTAACCCTGATTAAATGAGCTTGCCTAGTAGCTACAGATGTCAGTGAGGAGAACACCTGCTTCTTTTTGCAAATTATTCACAGTATTTGAGCTGGATTTTTTTTTCTTAACAGTATATTCAACAAACTTATGAACTTCATTCATTTTTTTCTGGAGATTTAAAAGTACAAAGGGAGATTCGGTTGATAGTAGATTGAAAGACTGTAGGAAATGAGCTTCCAAAGGGACACTTGTTATGACCAAGCTGCCTATTTGCTTTTTATGTCTTTATTTTACTATGCTCATAGGAATATAGACTTGTGTATTAGTTAATTCCTATCTGTGGTCCGTAAGAAGATGAAATTTCTGATCTTGAAGTTTCTTTAGTTTTTAAGGTGAATTGTCCATCAGGCAATGTAAGAGAGATTCAGTGCAAAACCATCCAGCTTTATATGAATAAATACATTCTGTATTATCAATTTCATTCTTACACATCATTTATCTCTTGTAGAAGAAACTGCTGATTGGGAAAAGGAATTACAGCAAGAGCTTCAGGAGTATGAAGTGGTGACGGAATCGGAAAAGCGTGATGAAAACTGGGATAAAGAAATAGAAGAAATGCTGCAAGAAGAAAATTAAGCATTTTCACAAAATCGCTATAACTCTAAGCATTTTTGAGGACTGAAATGGATTTCTGCTTTCATATTTTGCTTACAAAGGATCTTCAAAAGACATAAAAGACTCTAAAATCGTTATAATTCCATATGGGAATACAACCATTATTTCTGTTCTTTATATGAGCAGTTTCTGAACTTCTGCATTCTTCAAAAGAAAAACAAAGAAGAGGAGACAGACACTGCAGGTTATATGTCATAATTAACAGTGATAATTATTACATGAAGCAGCAGTTTAGTTTGAGGCTTTTTAGGTGGTCAAGAAGCTCTGCAAAGAGATTTCTAAATCTAAGAATCTCAGTTTGTCTACAGCCTTCTGTTTGGGATGTAAAAGTGGATGTTGTAAGTAACTTAGTCCTTGAAAATCACTCTTTCATCATATTTGCCCTCTGATCCCTGTATAATCTGTAAATGTGTACTATTTTAAAGTACTTCTAGCTCATAGCTTTGATGTGTATTTAACTTCCTTAATTTATGTAGCCAAAGAATTTATAGAAAACCCTATCGAAGAACTTCCAGTAATTTGTTATAAAAAAATACTAATTCAGACTCCAAAAGAAGTACTGATTAATTACTGATTGAATATCATTACCTGGCAAACATTTAAGCGTTTAAATAAGAACAGAGTTATTAACTGCTTGAATTAAACTGCTGTTTTTGCTCAGTCATCGTATTAAGATACTGTCTTTCCCCACAGAGATAAACAGTTTAATGCATTCGTTCTTCAAAAGGTTGTTATGTTTCCATTTAATTTTGCTGTCTGAGTGAGAGCAATTTCAATGTTTCTCTTTATTTTAAGTGCTGAAACATTTATGTAAAAACTTTGGCTGGTTTGGACATCTTTATTAAATACTGTAGATATGTATAAAATTGGCTCATTTATTTGGGGAGAGAGCAGAGTGAGGGGCAAATGTATTTCAGACTTATACCGATTTCAAAAATATACTTTGTCACAGTGCTTAAGATGTGAAATTTAAATAAAAAATAGTTTTCTTTAAGGGATTTATTGATTCTTCTTAGGCATCTGGATGTTTCCTGCAGTTTTACCATTAAGTCAGTATCTTTATGTATGTAAATGAAAATTTGATGTTCTTTTTGTCATCTATTTCATAAATTTCTGTGACAAAACATTCATGAAATTCCAAATATAAAGGAAAAAAGGTAAAATTAAGTAGGTAGGAGCTATTAAGCACAATTGAATTATAGGCATGTTACATTTAGCAAGCTCTGTCTTAATGACATAATTCTGCAGCAAACTTTTGTAAAGAGACTGAAAAGACTATAGCTGTAATTATTCAGTCAATATTCATCCTGTGGGAATTGAAGAGAGCTAAGTAGTTTTAACTGCTCTTAACTGTAAGAAAGGACTACTTAAAATTGCTTCCATTAGCCCTCCTGTATTTCTCATCATGGAAAATTAATTAAGACCTGCATACATTTGACTTCTCAAATTAGTTTCTTTATTACCATGCACTTTCTCAACTACAAATCATCTGAAGCACAATTTGTGTTTTTATAGTGTTTTTGCTTTTAGTTAACAGATGCAAGATAAGTTGTGGCAAATAAGAGATATTTTAGGAGCTTTTTATATCTGACATTAATTAAAGGCCACAGAATTTACATCTGTTACACACATAAAATTCAGACTATTCAAAGCTTTATTCTTACTCTTGACAAATACAGCTGCTCACAGATTTAAACCGGAGACCTTGGGATCTGTCTCCTGTACAGTTTGACACGACACCTCTTAGAAAGAGAGGCAGTTCTATTTTGATAGTGGCAAATCTTCGCCAGATGACTCACAGCTCAAAATCACTGCTCCAAATGCCTGCTTTCTTAAAAACCAGCCTGATCATTCCTGGTGTTTTCAGGTATTTGAGAGGCTTCTTTGTATGGGGTTTGTACATCAGACTTCATATTTCTTTTCATGTAAGCATAGCCTATATAATGGTTACAGCTATAAAACTCCATCTCTCCTAAGATATGTCCCCTACATATATACAACCTGAGTTTTCCAAGTCTCATGGAAAGCAAGTATGTCTGGAATAAAACCAAACCACCACTATTTAAGTTTGCATTTTAAAAGGCAATACTGAAGTAAGGCTTAATCTGACTGTGCTCTAGTATTTAAAGTCTCTTATCAAAAATTATCTTAATAATTTCAAATCTGCATATCTGTTCTTAACGTGGAAAACTGGAATGGGTTTTGTGTAATCCTGCACAGTTTTCAGGACTGCCCCATACCTTCCGTTCAGGTTAGTGCTACGAGCACCTAGCAGTTTCTGTTGTGCATGGTAAAAGGGAAGGTGTCTGTGTTCCACTTGTCACACAAGATGCACATAGGTAGACCTCTTCACATTCACAGTGAATTTTGTAGGTCTTTGTAGCCCAAACATGTCTTCATAAAATACGTCATAAGCAAAAACGCTGGGTGCAGATGCTAAAATCCAGCAAAACCACAACAGCGCAAACTTGAAGTCAAAACCAAGCCCGGATCTAGATCATACCAACCTGTGGAGACAATGTAGCAGAAAATGCAGTTGTTCAAAACATTGAGGAAAAGCAAATAAACAAACAGTTAACAAGTTTTCTTTGAAGAAATTAAACTTGCAGATTTTGATACTAACCTTTGATTAACAGGGAAGATTGCCCAGGCTCCATTTTGGTTAGCTTAGAACAGTTTTCTCCTGAGATAACATAATCTCCGGTTATTCTGTGCACCAAAGCATCCCATTCAACTATTAGTTTACTTGTCCAGTTGCTATTAATATGTATATGGGATTTTTTTGACTCAGTAATTTGTTTGAAGGAGGAAGAAGAGGAAAGATTGTCAAATCCTGAGTTAAAAATTGTAGTAAAATGTCACCCTACATTTTCATTCAATCATTTACAGCTGTTCTCTAAACAAAGTTAACCAGAGCTTTCAGTTTCCTGAATTGTTTCAGTAAACTTTGAATTTCTTTAGTTTGTCACTTCAGTTAGGTCATAAAACTGGTTGGTTATTTTTCTCCTTGCTGTTTGATTAACTTGGTGTTTGTTTGGTGGGGTTATGTACGTAGTACTGAAGCACAAAGGATGTCGATTTTAACCTCACGCATTAAAAGAGTAACCCTCTCTACAGGAGCCTGTCACCTGACCATGAGATGCATCCTTGAACTCTCGGCCACTCGAATATTATTGACTTTTCTTTGCAGTAGCTGTTACATAAAGGAGAACGCAGCGTGTCTGGTTACTTACTGCTGCACTGCCAAGCGACAGCAGCCACGTCCAGCCCTCGCTCCCCGTGCTGTACCCAGAGCCCAGTGGCATAATAACAGCGTGGAGAACCACACTGGTAATGGTCTGGGGTTTCGATTCGGCAGAAGTTTAGAGGTAGGATGTATCATCTGGCCTGATCCCGTGTGTATCAGTAAGTGCTGATGGATAGATCTATAGCAACAGCAGTACAGGAGCCTAGCCTTAAATAATGATAGAATCACAGAACGGTTTGGGTTGGAAGGGACCTTAAAGATCATTCAGTCCAACCCCCTGTCATGGACAGGGACATGTTATCCATTAGTAGATTTTTCCAAACTACTTGTTTTCAATGCTTTTTTTCCCTCTGTTTTAAACATTAGGTGTTTGGGGTTTGTTTTTTTTTTAGATCAGCATTCCATTTTTTTCAACAAAATAGCAAGTAATAATGAATGGATATTTTGCTATATTTTCTTTGTATTATTTTGAAGTTAATTATTTCAGAAAATATCAATTCCTACAAAAACACGAGAAGACATGCACAACTTCATTTTCTTCTCAGTATAGCCCAGCATTGGGTCTATATATATACATATGAAGGCCATGCATATACATAAATGCAAACCCACATCTATTAGCGTGTCTAAATATATTCAAAAAATCACAATGTACTTTTCCTCTTCAGCTGTTACTTTTAACTAGATACCATTGAGGGAGGAGGAGCAACCAAAATAATTATCATTAGTTTGTCACTCTATCATTTTTAATGAGACAGCGCTCTGCAGAAATTATCTCGAAGAATGAATCACTAGCTTCATTTCATAAAAGCCTGGGTTTCATTATGGCACAGATTAGGAACGTTTTCCTTTGCTAATTCAGGGATTCATGAAGCTATGACTAACCTCTCCAGATACACTTGGGAGGGGTGCTTAATCCAAAACTACATGGGCAGAAAGGTTGTGTTATCTCAGTGCAACCCTGACAAAGCAGGGAAAGACAAAAGAAAAATACAGTTAGTTAAGGGTTATATATAGAATTAGAAGAATAAAGACATGATGTCTGCTTTGATAGATGATGCTCTAAAGGAAACTGCATTTAGTGTGGGGTTTTTTAATTGTATGCATGCACAAAACCTTTATTCTGCAGTTGCTTTTATTTCTTTGTTCTCTCAAGCTATGGTTTCCATACTCAATTTTGAAGGTTTTTGGGCCAGGTAAAGCTACTGTTCCTCTGCCTTTCCTATCCTTCCTGAGGAGAAACCCAGTTTACCTCATAGTCAAATAAAGGCCAGCAAACAGATTGATTACACCCAGCTTCTTGTCCCACTTTTTTCAGAAATGTTTTGATGCTGGCCATGTGCCCTTTCGTGTCTTTGATGCCTGCAATTTAAACATCAAACAAATTTGCTTTTGCTGCATCATCACCACCTTGCATCCTGTATCACACATAACGAGACTTTCAAGCCCATCGCATGTCGGGTGGATGAAAAGCGCTGCTCTAAGAGCATTACTGGGGTGGAGAGGAGCCTCCGCAGATATTTAGAGTGGATGTGGAAACAACCACCTCTCTAAGTGGCACGTGGTGTCAAAGAGTAAGTGGGCATGTGAATGAAAAAGCTGAAACAACTGCCTAAGCAGGCAAAAATACTGGCACATAGGATCTTTCAGGTGGAGGAACATAATTTCATTGGTATTGTGGGGTAATTCATTTCTTAATGAGTTGGGGAGGGGAATCTTTTTACTGGCTTTAAATGTGCCCCTTTGTAATTTAACTTACCTGACTTTGCCTTCTTTTCATCATGTCTCACTTGTTACTTTCCTGAGCCAAGCGAGCCATTTCAGACTTTTAACCTCTGTCATACAAGAGTTTTTCCATGCCCCCCATAATTTGTGCCAGCTTTCCTTAGAGCTCATTTACCTTCAGAGTTAATTTTTGGGGAGGGAGGTGTGACACGTGCAACAGGCACATAGGAGAACAGCGCACCACCCAGCTGACACATGCTGGTTTCATTTTCTGTACTGCTCTTCATCCCACTCCTCCTGCACTCTGACATCTTAGAGGTTTTTTTATTCTCAGCTGTGTCTGGCCAGTACGTGTTTGCAATATTGTCCACGTTGGGCCTCAGGCAACTTCCCTAGTAGCCATCCTTTAATTTTAGGATCCTGTGAAGCAGAAGAGTGGTGATTTGGGTTGTTTCTTTTGGTTGGTTTGTATTTTTCTGCTTCCCTCCTGCCTTCATTTTAATTTTTCATTGCTTATCCTGCAAAAAGTAAGATTGGAAGAATGACAGTTCCTTCTCAGTACCAGGGGGAAGCATTCTGAGAAAACTTCTGGTAGTCCACAGCTTCTTGAAAATTTTGCTGAAAGCAATCATGATAGTAATCATGATGAAAAGGACAAAATTAAATTTGATGCTGCATTTCAATAGTTTCCTCACTGCTTTGCACATTATAACAATGGTGCAAGAAAAAAAATGTTATTAAAAAATGTTATCTTTATTTCACAGTTTCTCAACTGTCATTTTTTCAAGTTTTAAACATCTTGTTCTAGTTGACACCCTACTGATGTGTTTAAAAAAAATAACGAAGCAACTCATTTTTCACCAGGTTGCCTCAGAGTCCCCACCCCAGTGAAA